GGGCAGCGGGACAGCGGAGCCGCCCGCCACACCCTGGTGCCGCGAGCCTGTCCCTCCGCCGGAGGGGCGGGCAGCCACGCCCCGGCTCCCGCTCCTCTGTTCCCCGTGGCAGACGAGCTGGGGCGATGCTCTCCCAAACCCACACTGCGGGGGGGTCTCGCTTCCGGAGGGAGGGGCTCATGGAGCAACTTGGGGACATCGCGGGGGGGGGGGCAGGGGCCTGGGGGCCACCAGGGCCTCCCAACCGCCCTCAGACACTCCAGCGACAGCCTGAGTGGGCCCGGAGGGATCTCCACACCACCCCGCCACAGGCAGGGCACCAGAAGGGGAGTCAGGCCCCCCCCCCAGGGTGCTCCTGGGCCGAGGGTGGCCTCTCGGCTCTCACTTGTGCACGGGCCGGAGGGGCTGAGGCCCGGGCTCCAGTCTGGCTGCTTGGCGGGCGGGGGGCAGGGGGGCAGAGGCACGGGAGGCACCCCGGCGGAGGCCAACCCCCCCGGGCAGGAAGAGGTAGGCGGCAGGGCAGGTGCACCGATGCCCGGGCCAGGGCCTGCTTCCCGGGCTGAGACTAAGGTCTGGGGGACGGAGCCCGTGAGGCACAGAGCCCGCACCCTGGGCTGGCCGTGGCTGAAGCCGAGCTGGACAGGCAGCGTTGCTGGGGAGGGCCAGGCCGTGCAGGATGGCAGCTCTAGGGAGCAGCGGCAGATTCGGAGACTAGAGAAAAGGCAGGACCAGGGCGAGGGCCCGGCACGAGGCACCGTGGGTGGCGGGCTCAGGACTGGGGAAGAGAGGCAGCCCTGTCCAGTGCGGCGCCCGGGCCCTGCCCTGCACGCGGCCCCTCCCGCTCCATCAGGGGGCCGCAGGGGCCTCCCCCGCCCCGGCCCCAAGAGCCCAGGCTGAGCTGCGTCTGTGGCAGCCGGGCCCTGAAGCCCACGTGGCACGAAGGTCAGCACCCGGGGGACAAGATCCTTGTACTTCTCGACTCCCACCCCGCCCAAACCCCATGCACCATTTCTTGGGGCAAAGGTGAGGGTGGGGGCTGAGGGGAAGGGTCCAGGCCTTTTCTTCCCCCAGCTATCCACCCCTCTGCCCGCTGCAGCCTGAACAGCGCCTCCACAAACATGCAACCCGAACTCCCACCCCACGCTGCTCGGGACCAGCGAGACTTCCCAGGGGTGCCGGTTGCTGTCTGGAGTTCGTGGCGTCCGGCCTGGGAGCTCACTGAGTGTGGTTGGAGCCCTGCTCACCCCAGCTCGGCACTGATGCACGCAGCCAGACCCTGGCCTCCCCCTGGAGCTAGGGGGCTCCGGCATGGGGCAGCGGGCGTCCAGGAGGCTGCTCTGGCGCCGGGAGGCCCTGGCACATGCACCAGGCAGAGCTGGGTCTGGGAGCAGAAGCAGAGGGCCACGAGAGGAGCTCCCTGCCCCGGAGGCGGGCGCCAGACACCCTGCCAGGCCTTCGCCTTCAACGAGAGAGAGGGAGAAAGGAAGCGCCACGGATGAGGCCTGACGGGGCGGCCGTGAAGACAAGGAGGCGACACGCAGCGGGACCACTCACGCGTGGCCGGAGCATGGCGGCGGGGATGCAGGCAGCAACCAGAGCTCTTGCTGGAGAAGAGGAAGGCAGCGTGGCTGGCAGCTCCCACCGGGAGGCCCACACCCGCATGGGCCACGCAGGCCACCGCCACGCGGGCTACCGCCACGCGGGCCACAGCCCGGCAGGCAGAGCCGTTCCCCAGCCCGAGCGAGGACCGGACGCCACCCACAGCTCCTTCGAGAAATGCGTCAGACACAGCTGTCCTCAGTCTGGTCCAGGTACCGGCCTGGATGGGGCCTCCAGAGCGCCCGAGAAGGGAGTGCTTTACAGACCCCCCCAGGCCCCTCCTTCCAGAGGGGAGGTGACTGGGTCTGCGCGGCTGGGGTCAGCCAGTGCCCAGAGGCAGGTTTTTAAGGGGAACAGCGAGAGAAGGAGGGGTGAGTGGGGCGGACGCTCAGTGGCCATCCCTGCCACGGTGGCCGGGGCCCCGCCAGGGCCGCGAGCCAGTGGTTAGAGGGGCCGCGGGGCAGCGGTTAGTGACGTTAGCTGAAGCCGAGCCGGCCGTACCGATCTCACACAGGTCCCCTCGGTAGCTGGGAAGGCATAAGCATGTGAAAGAGTCGAAGGCGTCCACGCAGGTGGCTCCGTTCAGACAAGGGCTTGGGAGGCACTCGTCACTGTCTGCAAGAGACCAAGGGCCACGTTAGGCGCGGCGGGACGCCGGCCGCGCCGGGCTGGGTGGCCGC